ATTCCTAATTATTGTTAATGCTGCACAGGAACGTCATCAGAAGAATGAGCCTGTGATGAGACAATGGCTTTAATCGCATATTCCGGGGGGGATCCCGGGGAATTGTGCACATAGCCCATTATTCTGAGGTTATTTCCTCTTTCATTGCCTGTTCTTCAGGCGGTGGATTGCTGTGGAACATTTTAAATAAGCTACACAATGGAGGGCAGGCTGGGGGAGCCACAATGGGATTTGCCAGATTCTACCACCCAGCTCCGAAACCAGGAGGGGGGCTCCTTCAAACCTGCCAGGACCGAAGGTCAGTATTATGCTGAATACTGCTCCTTAAAGGACGAAAGAGGCTTCGCTCTCACATGTCAGTTTCAGCCTGAGCTCCATGCATCATATGCTGCAGCAATGCATGTGTCTAATGCGCCGCAGCATCTTCCTGCAGGGTTGGGTAACATGATGGTGTGGAACTCTGAGCTCTTCGACTGAGAGTAACACAGATAAACACGGTCACCTGACCCACCCTCCCTCCTTACAGCCCCATCCTCATATTGCAGCATTAAGGCTAAAACAAAGCAAGCATTAATATTATGTGGGTGCAGGATACTTTTGGAATTCCTGAGAAAATTAGTGCACAGAAGCTGTTTGATTGTAACCAAAAATAAAGGGGCCTTATTTACTTAAACATGTAACTATTCTATCGATTCCTCTTCAGATTTGGGAATTCTTGCATGTACCTGGAACTACTCATTAATTTTCATTCCTGTACTGCACCGTGGATCAAGAATTTCACTGTGTTCCCCAAAAACAAGCGACAATAAAACCTCGAAACTCGAAAATTTCTCTTTATATATAAGGCTCTGTCTCAATTGGGGAGCATGGTGACTCAGTGGGTGGGACTCACCCCTCCAGGGTTAGGGGTTTGACTGCCTTCCCCCTGCCTTCCTCCCTGTGGTGTGCAGCATTACTTCAGGCACCCCAGTTTCATCACGCCCTCCAAAGACACTCGGTCTGATTAATTTTTAAATTGCCCATAATGTGTGATTGCATGATTTTGATCTGCGATGGACCAGCATCCCATCCAGGACACACCCCCCCCCCCCCACCACCACCCCTGCCCCATTTCCTCTGCTCCTCGGAATGCTGAACTAGATGAGCAGCTGTAATATGGATGTACAGATCTACATTAACACCGACAGAGTGTAAAAAAATTAGTGCCGAGGGCAAAGCAGGCGCGCAGTCAGGTGATTAGAGACGTGTCCTCATGCATGGAGGGAAAGAGCAGGATGAGGAGATGAGATCCTGCTGTCAGGGATCCCCACCTGTCAGGGAACACGGCAGAGCCCTCCGTCAGCTGTCAGGCTCGGCCTCGTCCCCCTGACCTTGTCTGACTTCTGCACTTCACACTCACTCATCTGCCACAACAGCTCTCCACCCCCCCAGCCACCCCCCTCTTGGCACCTCTCTCCCTCTCCACTCTCGCCGCCCTCGATCGTCGGGCCATCTAAATGTTACTAATCCGGAATACAGATGACCAGCAAGACACCTGCCTGTTGGGGCTAAGCAGACCCCTAAAAGCTGAGCCCTCTGTTCCTGTTCTTTGGTGGGAAGGAATTAAGCAGCTGCAGCAGCTTCAGTTACCGAATCCTTATGCTGGGCCACAGGTCAGATAACATAACCAAAGTAGCCTCATTGGAAGGACACGTCCAGCAAGTTGGTGAGAAGGCCTTTGTTGGTTTTGTGCGAGATCTTGATCAGATAGCCCTACAGCAAATGGATCTGTCAGAGGCTCAACGTAAAGGGTCTCAGATCTTACGAATCCTCAAAGTCTACACAGAAAAAAGGCAGTCAGAGTGGAGTTTCTTGAGATCTACCTGCCCGGCACAGCTATATATATAGCTCACGATGCTCTGCTTCATAAGAGCTTCACCCTTACGGCAGGCAGATCAGTGCTGGCTGCCCGCGGAGGCCCCCTGTGAGGAAATAAACGCTGACACAGCCGTAAGCTTTCATGCAAAAGCCGTGTCACAGAGCTGTGAGGATGGAGGGTATGTTCCCAAACTGCCCTGCTGGGGATAGCCTCACACGGCCGCTGTCGTACGTCACACTGATGACACCCAGAGCCGTCGCTTAACTCACAGTGGCAGCACTGACCTGCCCAATGCACTGAAAACCTGATGTTTGAAAAGAGAAAAGCAAGAGAGAAGCAATTATTGAAAATATTTCCCCTGAATATATTAATGATTGCTGACAGAAGGCAGATGTGGGCAGGGACAGTGTGATTCAGACTCGGTCACACTCACACAGACAAGTATACACAGATAAACAGATATACACTTACAGATCAGGCATAGCACAACAAACCTCAATCTCACACACATACATACACATACATGTTCAGCATTCAGTAGTACTAACGCTCCTAACCTCTCTCACACAAACAGACACTCACAGATAGTGTGCAGCAGTGTCAAAATCCCAAAAATCTCTCTCACAAGCAGATAAATAAAAAAAGAATGATGAATCCTGTGTTTGCCATTTGCACAAGTATGAACACAAGTATATTAGAATTCTTGTCTTTGCCTTGCCCATCTTGCTCTCCATAGCTTGGGGGTCACAATGCAGGGTCATCTAGCATGCAGTGCCCCTGGAGCTGGGGGTTAAGGACCACATTCAAGGGCCCACAGAAATGTGATTGCTCTCCCGAGGGCAGGGCTTGACCAGGTGCCCGTCTGATCGCAGGCACAGAGGCTCAGCCCACCCAACAGAAACACTGTTGAGTAGAGAGCACTGGCAACCCCTTTACTCTCGCCCTAACACATGCTCAGATAGAATCACGAGCATATGCAGACACACACGCAGGCTGGAATAGTGGATCAGGAGAACTGTGAGAGGATCTTTGATATGGTAAAGAGACTGTTTACAGAGGAGCCTGCAGAAGGAAGCGTACTGAGAGGACATACCCAAGGGGAAGGTCTGGACACGGACTGCTGATGTGTTTCACCCTCAATCACTGTTTTCGGTGCTTTACTGACTCTAATAATCCATTGGAATGGGCTCTTAACATGTTTACTCGCAAACCCCCTAAGATTCTGCTTAGACTGGGTGAATTCCAATAGGAATGAAGTGTATGGAAATCATATTGTGGTCCCTTCCCAGTACACAAATCCTCATAGCCTGCCGCATGCCACTGGTGATTCTTAAGCAGCTGCTCAAGTGGAGGTACAAAAATGAAAAAATAGGAATATGGATTCAAACAATGAACAACTTTTAAAAGAAGGCAGATACACATGGCTAACAAAAAAGCATGGAAACCTGATACACACACACACACACACACACAGAAGAGCATTGCTAATCAGCACCAGAACACAGAAATGAAGGGAAAGTGTTTGCTTTGATGACCAGAGAAACCTGGGGGGGGACTTTGCAGATGAGCGGCCTTGAATGTCCCTACACTACAGATTTGAATGTAAATGAATGACATGAGTGGAACAATCTGGTTATTATAAATTACGTGGAATAAGAAACTGCTACCACTGGTGATTGTCGGCATCTGGCTGCACGTAAACAGTGGTGAAATAAGCCATTTCCACCATGTCCCTGTGTGACAGGTGCTCCCAAAAGCACCATCCCAAGCATCACTGCTGCTTGAGGGTCTCTGTACATCAAAGAATTAAGCTCAATTTAATATCGATCTCCTGCAGGTCCAGACAGGGACCCACTCTGAGTGTATAAATGCATCAGCACTGGGCAGGAGGCTTCTGCTAACCCCTAGAAAGCTTAAAGAGCAAATGGATCACAGAATATGTCTTGGTTTTCTTATTATTATGTTTACAATTATCTGGTCGATACTACTCCCCCTCCTGTTGTACCCACATACCTTGAAGCTGCTTTCATGGACACACACACACACACACACACATAGACCTGTACTCATTCTTTTGTGGGGACCATTCATTCATTTCTATGGGCAAAACCGTAAACCCAGCAATGACAACCTTAGCCCAGCCCTACCCATCCCTAACCTTAACTATAAGTAACCAAACAAAATGTGAGACTTTTGGCCTTTTTAGCTTTTTCATTGCATTCACAGATCTTTGTGGGGACCTGAAAACAGGGACATTTGGTCCACATAATGTAATATAAACCTAATCCACACACACACACACTGTGGCTGCTTCATTATGCTCACATAAATATTACCAGGTAAGACCCCCTTTGTTTCCAGAACCACATTAAGACTTATTATTTTTGCATTTGCGACCTTCTTATTAGCTTTAACGTGTTTGGCTGTTCTCCCCTGTCATTAACAAGGTGTTTTTGGCAATAGAACTGGACCGTTCTTTGTTTATTGCACCATTCTCTGTAAACTCTCAATTGTATAGTGCCTGAAAACCCCCAGCAGGGAAGCTGTTCCCGAGATCCTGGCACCAACAATCATAAAACATTAAATATTACTTAGATCACGCTTCATGTCGCTTCTAAAGCTTAGCTGCAGTTACTGAGCATTTAGACCCAGTATGCATTCTGCATACTGTATGAATTCAGGTGCAGACCCATGATTTGCATTAATAAACCGCTCACTCAGTCTCACACACACAGACACAGACACACCCACACACACACATTCATATATTTGTGTATGAGAAACTTCCACTTAAAAAAAACAGTGTGAGATCAATTAAGTCCATCTATCTATCTATCTATCTATCTATCTATCTATCTATCTATCTATCTATCTATCTATCTATCTATCTATCTATCTATCTATCTATCTAAACTACACTGCAGGGACTGCCGAGTACAACTACACAGCTTTCATTCACCAAGCTGACGTCTGTTTGCAGGCTCCAAAAATAATGCCAATAAACTATCCAAGCTGTTTTAATTAGGATGATTCAAAATCCGGTCTCCTTTTAGGGAGATCGCCGTCCCTCTTTCCCTCATTCCTGGGTAAAGTCAATATCTCCTCGTCCACGTGGTCCGAATCTCTTAAGGCATCAGTTTAAACCCCGCTGTCGCCTCCACAGACGAGCGGAGTATGCGGGAGGCTGCAGCTGAGTGTGTTCAAGCGAAAGGACTTCGGGCTGTATGGACTGAGTGTATTTTCAACATAAAGTAAATCGCCGATAAATTATGTTTCTGCTAGGAGGGTGGACGAAGAATAAATGAAAGCGAGCGAGAGCGAGAGAGAGGGGGGGGAGAGAGGATCGCATCCGGAAGGGAGCAAATATCAAAGAAGGGGGCAACCGGCCGGCATGATGCTGATTCTCTCTCGCCGGCTTGGTGGTAGTTTTCAGGCTTGCGGAGGACTTGTCTTTTTGCCCGTTCCCATGACTGGACAATACTGAGCCGAGGGGTCGCCATCGACAGCAAAACCCTCCCGCCGAAATCCACATCCGTGAGCCACGGAGCGGATTAATCATCATCCACCGTCCGATTCCGACAGCAAGGAGATCAGCACTCTGGACAGCGACGAGCCGCTGAGGTAAGCGGGAGGAGAAACGCGTTTTCCCCGGAGCCTGCAGTTTGTAGTTAAATGATCCGGCGGGGTATCTAAATGCACAAAGTATGCTTCACATGCGCGGATGGACGGCGGCAGAAGTGCATGTGCATGCTTTGGCGTTTGATGCCTCCGTGCTGGGCACAGGACCATCTAGATTGTCGGGCGGAGGAGGCGAGTTGGTCTTTTAAGGTCCGGAAACTGCTGCGCCTAAATCCCCGCAAGTTTATCGAGCAGCCGGCGACGTTTAACGCCGCCACTTAACTCCAATCATACATCGCGCCATCCACTGCACAATCACTGCATTTCTACACGGCTCTGTGACTTATTAATATTATATTCTTGAAATAAGTGTTTTCACCACCTGGTGAAAGTGACGCCCAACCTCCTTTGGAGGAAGATCACTGTGGTCTAATATAGACAGCCATTAATCTGAACACTGTCGATGTACGTCCACTCGGCAGTAAAACAAGCTTCTTCTTGACACGGTCTCCAGGGGGCCTGGGGGAAAAATCATTATACGAAATGACTTATTCTTCGAGATAATGCTTAAAACTATTCAGCAATAAATCCATCACATATACTGTATTCGGAGGCAGCCTGGACTTGTTTTAATTGATTTTATTTAAACTCGGGAGAACAATAAATCATCTCCATTTCAGTCCTTAGGAAGAGCAAATCACCGGTCCATCTATGTGCACTCTCTCTGGCGGTGAGCCCATAGTCATTTTTCAGTCGTGATACCAAATACTGCAGCGGTGTCCACTAACAGGCCAAACAGATCAAAACAGCCCAAGCTGCATGTTAAATCTGGAGCTTTCGGAAACGTGGCAGCGTCCGCCAGATGAACACTCTTCCCAATGCCTGTCCAAGTCTTTAAGGAAACCATTTATTCCTAAAGTAAGATATTCCTTTCCATTAAATCTCGTTGTTTCCAGATCTCTAAATATTAAAATAAGATTGATATTACATGCATTATTTTAAGAACTGCGTGTGCATTCAGTCTGTAGTTGATGAAGCATGATGCAAAATGGTGTGTGTGACCAGCACTATCTGAAAGAATGAGGCAGGCCACCACCTCGGACGTTTCAGGAGCCTTATAGTACACACACACCCTACCTCTCCCCATCAGCACCCATAAAACAGCTTTCAAATATAGTATTCAATATACCATGCAAATATAGCCTTCGTTATCACATTCAAATGGCAATTATCTGTTCCAGTCTGGCTACAACGGCCGGCGGAGCAATCAGGGTAATGATACTGGCATTTTATTTGCCCTGTAATGCTCCTCACGCTTTAGGAGATGCGGAGATGAGACGGCCGTGCAAATGAGGCGTCTGAAATCGCGCTGTTTGTGAAAAAAGTGCTTACCCGTATCTGCACAAACGAGAAAGGGACACTTATGCACAAAGTGCACGAACCACCGGTGTCACACTTGCTTTGAATTGTGAAAGAGAGAGAGAGAGAGAGAGAGAGAGAAACAACCCGCTGTCTCTTTTGTTTGAATGACCAGAGGAATATGTTCATGTCAGGGTCTGGAATAAGGTATTTGCACCTTTACATACAAACTCTTGCATTCAGTGATGTCCCGAATAAAAACAAATCGGCTGAAAGAGCCGAGTTTCAGTATAAAAATGCCTTTATTGGATAAAAGGCTCTCCAAATGCCATTTGTGGCTGTAGATCCACGTCGCTGAAGCTGACAAATTCATGGAGCAGCTTTTCAGCAGCTCATACGTGCTCATTACAGCTTTTAGCATCTGGCTTTGCTGTAAAGCACGGCCATCGGAATCTGTCTCGATAAATAACCTACTGACGGCTGAAATAAATAGGCACCATATTAGACATGGCTTAAACACCGGCTAGGTCTGATCGGCGCACTAAATTACGGCTTGTTTTCCTTACAAACCGCAGCACAAGCGCAGCTTGATTACTGAAGGGCTTCCCACTTAAAGTCTTACCCGAACTTGCAGCGAACACTTGGTGGACGAGATGCTGGTCACATGACTCTGGAGCTCTTAGAAATGGCAGAGAAAGCAGGCCGGGCCCCTAGCGGCCCGGGGCCACCCCGGCTTTTAAGGAACGCACAGCTGGCCGGGAATCAATTAGCTCAAGTGGCTAGGCGGATGGAAGTCACGTCCCCCCTGTGCAGAAGCTCCCCCCCCCAGGCCATCGGCCTTCCCTGTTTCCCTGTTTAAGGGAAGCAAAAACCTGAGGTATTAATTAGTCAGCCGAAGATGCCCAGGCCAAAAAAGGTGAAAAGCAGGATATGGGAAGTGCCTCTGGGGAAGGGAGTTGGTGAAAGAAGTTAGTGCTGCTCCCGTCACTCTGAGACGCAGTGAATGCAGTGAGGGCTCAGTTATGGCAGGGGATTTGTTTGTATTCATCATAACCTGACAGGCAGAGGGTCCTGGCAGGTATGTATCAAGATATATAATTTATTTAAATAGCCCCTTGTGGCTGTTGTATTTTACATACCTTGAAAGGTGTGACTTTAGGCAATTACAGCTGTGTTATTTTCTCTATGTGTGTAGTGAGGGAGGGGGAAGAGAGCGTCACATACCCCCATCTGGGTTTGTTCCTGGCAGGTGGAGAGATGAGAGCAGGGTGGAACAAAGCTTCAGGCGGCTGCCCAGATATCTGTCTGGGAGTGGTGGGCCCCCCCGGTGGTGATTATATGCCATACGGCTCCGGCTTCGGTTCACGTTCCTAGTAGGCCATTCGCCAACTCGCCTCCAGCTCAGGCAAACTTATCGGCATCGTTTGTGTCGGCGAGGGCGGGGGGGGGGGGGGCACAGTATGGGTGAGAATATTTTAGTTGCTCAAGAAGGTCAGGACGCAACACTGAAACACGCCTGCGTTACCCCTATCCTGCTCCCACTGTGCTTTCCTAGCTGTCTGTGTTGCATCCTGGTCCGACCCTGGGGGCGTTTGTGTCGGGGGGGGGGGGGGGGGGGGGAGCATAATGCTGGCCGTGTGAAGCGGAGTGATGCAGTGGCTTGCTGGAGGGAAGCGGCATTTTACCACGGCTGTTTGGCCCCGGCTGCGGAGCCGGCAGGTTTAACGCGTTTGGCTCTGTGGCTGGCCTCACCTCAGCGCTGCACCTCAATCGCTCGGAGACGACTCCAATGATAAAAACCATCGGAATGCGCTTTCAAGACGACCATACCCATTTCCCAGGAGGAGCTTTCCATTGTTCCATTCTATGGCAGAATAGCTGCTCAGTAGCCAATCAGGATCAGCCAGATCCAGGTCCAGGAGCTTGATTCTGCTGTGGGCCATCAGTTGAAGAGCGTACAGAGTACAGCCGAGCTGAGCCTCTTTCTCGGGGGGCAAGAGACATGGGCTGCTATACAGCGCCGCTCTAGGGGTGGGCAAGAGGATGGTTTGTGGTTGACTCCTACCAGAAGTCTGTGATGTTCTTGAGGTAACACCCACAAGGTGAACCAGCCCCCGTTCTGCCCTTTTCCCAGTCGAGAATGACATCTGTGGCCTTATTTGCGCGGGACTCATGTCAGAAAAATGATTTATTACACTCCATAGCTACAGAAGAGAAACTTAGCACAAGATAGAAAATAAACAGATTACCTTTTGTTTTGTCCAGTGGGATTTAAAGGTCAATGCACACAGTAGTACGGGCATCATACAACAAGGTCAGGGCAAACACACTGCTGGTAAGTTCAGTGAGTCCCCATCCAGGTTGCATATCTGTTTTTCCAGGGTGGGGAGCCAGCAGCCAGTCCAGTAACTCAACAAGAAGTACATTGCACTAACATCTCAAAGGGTGTGGGTACAAATCCCTCTGGGTACACATAAATTGTAACTCTTCCCCCGATGAAAGTTGTTTTGAATAAAGACGTGATATGGATGAATGAATGCCCCCAACTAGCTTTCTCAGGGAGTGCAGGGGCTAATCGCAATTTTGGGACGCTCTTTCACCTAAATCGCATATTCTTAGACCGTGAGAGGAAACTGGAGTACAGGGAGGAAACTCCCATAATGTAGGGAGATCCTTTAAAATCCACGGGCCAAAGCCCCAAGTGCTTCATGCATGAAATATCCTAATACAAGACACTACCTTATATGACGTAAGAAATCCCTGAAAGAGAGAAAGATGGGAATGGTAAAGATCGACGTGTTTATGCACTGTTCAAGCAACATCAAAGGAAGATCGATTGCATTAAAATTCCAAAAATGCAATTAGAGATTGACTGTAAGCAGCACCTCCCTGCTTTACAGAAGTCATGGGCAGGGACCCGCACTTTAAATGGACGAGGGAGTTTGTGGCTGACGGCGTATCAGTAACTAGGAGAATGGGAGGAGGTACGATGCCAGAACAAAAAGATGCAGATTGTCTTTGTGGTCAGGCGGCACACGGGGGAGTGGGGGAGGACTCCACACCGAGGAATTCAGTCTGAGACAGGAAAAGAGACAGCAGAAAAACAACAAAAGTCACCGGCACTGTTTCATTACCCTGCGCCTGGCTTGTTCTTCTTGACACATGCTCGTTATTTCAGAATCGGCTCAGTTTCTCCGTTTAATTAAGTGGCGGGTTCCAGAGCGGCTGGAGTTGGGGGGGGGGGGGGGGGGGTGGGCACAGAAACAGCGTGGCCAGACGTGGAGTGGATACTCATCACACCACAGCAGCATCTTCATCACATTTTGGTCCTCACTGTTGCTGATCCATGCCCCCCCCCACACCTAATCACCCACCCCAGATGGCGAGATGGAGAGTACAGATGCATCAATGTTTTTCTGTGCCGTGAGATGCAGGATGCAGCCATATGAGGTGGTAGAATTAGAGAGCCCTGTTATGAAAACACCCCTCCCCCCATCATTTGGGCTGCCTGTTAGCTGAGGGTGTTCCAGAGATCTCAGCATTCACAGTCACAAAACTGGGGCAAAGCCGCCCCCCAAATAGGTCTTTGGTGTCAGGTAAACACACAGAGCCGCTCCAATTTCCATGGGACGGTCATATACCCA